AGCAGGAATTGTGCATTGTGCTGCAGAGCTTCAGGGTAGGTACAAGGATGGCACAAGGAGCAAGCACAGATCTTTCTTCTCCCTGGTCTCTAGTAGTTTGAGATGTGACACCTGTAAAGAATTTTATTCCACACTCTGATTTCAGATTGGAGTGGGTCAGGTGCAACTGCTGGATCGACACCAAGGCATTTAAACCACAAATCACCATCCCAGGCTTTGTGGAGTCTACATTCTAATGGAACAAGTTCAACTTTCAATGGCTCAGATTTCCTTCCCAGGACTTCTCCAGATACAAATTTTAGGATGGGTAAGAAAAAACAGTGTGCACACTACATAGAATAGAGTGGAATAAGTTCCATACGGTGACTGTCAAATCCCAACCAATGGAAATAAATAGGGAACCTTTCACTGCTCTCCCTGTGCCAGACCTAATTTGGGGGTTAACAGCGGTGTTACAGATAGCTTTTGCTGTACTAAGGGAAGTAAGAAAGCCCCTAAGAACCTGGTGTGGCTCTTCTCCAAAAGGAAGGGAACCCTCTACTCAGCTTTCACCTTATGCACCTAAGAGACACCCCAGCCAGGGTGTCCTGGTTTTGCCAGCTGGCTGCTGTTCTCACAGGACCTACATGCATTCCCCAAAGAGCAAAGATCTTTGGGATTACAGAAAATTGAACAGGACCTGCTGTAAGCTTGTTTAGTCCAGAAGAATCCCAGCAGGAGGTTTTGCCTCCCAAGATGGAGAAATTGTTGCAGACCTGTGTTCTGAAACAGGAATGGCTTTATAGGAATTCTGACCTAAGCACCAAACATTCCTGGTTGTTTTTGGAAACATGCTGATTTCTGTTATTTCCCCAAATATGTTAAATCAGTGAGTTCTGCATAGACAGGTTTCTTTCTAAATATATTAAACCAAATCATTATAATGGGAAATTCTCCCTAATTTTTTTCCATAGCTGAAGTTCATTACAACCCCAGTGCTGAACCTCCAGGAGATGGTGAAACCAAACATCCTTGTTCACGAAGAGTACTACCCATGGACACAGGGCTGCACTATCCACAGAAAGCAAGATTTTTTCATTGATACTGAATTTGTTTTCTCCTGATTATCTAATGATGTGGCATATAGAAATAAAAATTGATCTAAATAGTTACTTTTAGTGTACAGCTATCGATCTGAACACAATTACAGAGCTAAACCATCCCTTTATTCAACTCCCTAGGCTTCAGTGGAGTGGCAGTACTGACCACGTAAGGACTTGGTCCTCTTGTGTTTCCAAGATTAGCCCTCAAGTTAAACAGAGATTGGCAACATTCTCTTCCTCATCATTAGCCCTTCTCATAGTTTGTCTGCTTTATTTTCTCTTTACACCTTCCTGCCATCCCTCTGCTCCCTTCTTCATCTGACACTTATCCTCAAAACCGAATATCCATACTACTGAGTTTCAAGTCATATTTTTGAGCCTGTTCGCTGACTGTCTCAGGCATGTCTCTAGGTTCCTCAGGTTCCTCAATCAGAATCTCTCCTACCTTTTTCTGAGATGGACTTGATCAACTTATACATTAAGAAATTAGACTCAGTTTTCCAAGGTGTTCCTTTCAGTAGTATGTTTTTATTTGCAGCTGTGCTGGCACTGCTGACTTGGATTTAGATGTCCAAAGAGATGTAGATGTGTGTTTAAATGTTTGAAAACATTGTCCAGTACCTTCAAATGGAAAGTGGAAAAAAGAAAAATAGAAATTCCCACCTCTGAAGGGTATCCACGTGTACGATAAAGTTTTAAGATTACCTTTCCTGCAAAAAACTCAGACAAATAGCAGATAAAATCCTACCATCTTTGGAGGTGGTGATTAAGAAGTTCACCCTTTAGTAATACTTTGCAATGAATACAGCAGGAGGTAAACTCCATTTCGTAACATCATAAGAGAGACTTAAGTTTCCTCTCCTACTGAAGAGGGGCTTTCTGTCAAAAAACATGTTTGAATCAGTAACTTGCCTGTTCAACCAAACTCTAGTTTCAGTTTTGAATGCCTTTCTCTGTATCATTCAAGTAAAGATGTTTTGATGATCGCTAATATAGTAAAATACCAACCTGTACCGATGACAGAGAAGTAAAAAAAATATAATGGAGCAATATTTTAGAGCTGGTATGTACGACAGCAAATACAAAAGGTTCTTTCATTCTGTGAACAACTCCCACACAGCAATTATGGGAAAAGATGAGTATTTCAATGTACAGTAGCTACAGCCAGCCTACTTGAAATTAGACAGATCACCTTCAGTTCCTTGGCTTTCTGGGAGAAACGTTAGCATTAAAAACAAGCAAACAAGTTTCACCTCATACCCACTTGTTTGTAACTCAAAATTGCTTTCAATGAGGAACAAATTTAATATAAAATACAGTTTGATATGTTGGACCCTTGAACTATCATTCTCTTCTTGTATTCTTTATTTTCATTAGTAAACTCTTGGTTCCACAATCTGCTGCTGAATACAAGTTTTCCCTGCTTGGCAATGAGAAGCAGGACAGGCTGTGCCATGGTGCTGTGTGCTAAAGCTGTGCCTGACTCCCCTTGCACCCCTGACCTGGCTGCTGCACTCCCCAGGGGGTCTTGTGAGGGTGAGGAAGGAGACTGAGGAGGTCTCTGGAGGAACTGGAGCTTTAGTCCTCCCCTGAATCCCTTTTACACCAGTTTGTCTCTGCTATGATAACGGTAAGTCTAGGTGGATGGACAGTCTGACCCCATTTCCTTTTCTCCCACCCTACTTTGATGCTCACTGTTCTACTTCATGCAGTCATTCTTTCTGCGTACACTTTACAAGAGAGAAGGTAATAGGCTTAAATTTAGACTAGACATTAAGTAACAATTTATAATTTTAAGAAATAAATGGTCTAGGGAGCACATGGAATTGCCATCACAGCAGGTCTTAAAAATACTCATAGTGATAAGACAAATATCTGCCAGAATTGGTGTAAGTGAAGTTGATTTTGCCTTAGGGCAAAGGATGGACTGGAAACCTGTTGAAAATCCTCCCAACTCTATTTTCTATTACTCTAATTTAAAATAAAAAGGCAGCAAATGAGAACAATATGATCAATATGAGAACAACACAAAACTGGCCTTGTCTCCTACATACTGTAATTGTTTCATTACATTCCTGATAAAAGATGAAATGTACCTTGGTTTTCTAAAGTTTTTGCTAAATGCCCTCATAACATTATTAAACTATTAGAAGCAACAAAGATTTGTATAAAAGCTGGCGAAGCAGTGAGAAAGGTGCTGGAATACCTCAGACTTCTCAGGCTGCTGAGAAATGGCTGGAAATGCCATTTCTTGGGCAGATCCATCAGTGTGTTTCCTGCTTTGGAGGTGTAACAGTGGGAAGAAGAGCAAGCTGCATGGCATGGAGCGGTGTCAGGTCTCCATTCTTGCTACTGATTTTTTTTTTTCTATTTGAAAAAGTCAATTTTTAAAAACCTGTCAACTTGCTTATGCAAAATGCAAAGCGCTGTTTGTTCTGGGAAGGTGGTTAGCTCACTTCCACTCTCCATCATATGCTTAATGGCTTTTCCAGCTACACAGTGTATCATTTCTGTTTCAAGCATGGCATTGTTTAGGTTGTCAGCCAGAATGAAGATGTGTAATTTTCTTTGGGCTGAAAGAATATCTTCCGCACCAGCACCATTACATTTGCTCTTCTCCAACATGTCTATGTTGACATTTTGCCACAGAATCGTGCATGGGTGGTTTTCACAGGGAGAGGACATGCACAAAGACAAATCTAATAAAAAATTGCTATGTGCTTGTGATTCACATCCTAATAATTGTAAGTGATGGGAACAGCTTCCACATTGCCGGCTCGAACGTGACCTGATGGTGCGTTACTGATACAAACGCATCCTCCTCCCCATGGTTTTCATTGTATCGGTTGACTCTGCTTGCTCTTTGAGAAAGCAGCAACCTAAAATACTCTTTTATTTCTAACTCACTCTCATTTACTCCTAGATTGCTTATTTTTAGCGATACATATACCAGGA